AAATGAATATTAGTATAATATTATTTTTCAATTAATATTTGTTATTAAATAATAAATTATTTAATTCTTATTTATTTTTTTAAAATTAATTACTTTATATTATTTTAATATAAAAAAAGTATTTATTTATTTTAATATATAATTTATTTATTGTTATTTTATTAAATATATTAATTAACAGTAATTTGTCTATTTAAATTAATATATTTAATTTTATTTTAATATAATTAATTGTAATTAATTAATGTGTAATAACATAACACATATTAAAAATTTTGTAAATATTTATTTTTCTTATCTTATTTTAAATTATTTACTTATATTAATAAAAACAATTTTAATTGAATTCATATTACAATGATATTTATTTTCATTTATAATTTAACAATACATTATAAGAAAAGCTTAAAGTTACTATTATTATTTTATATACTGAATATTATAGAATATGTGATTTTTTAAATGCATACGTTTTTACTTAATATATGAATGTTTTATTTAAAATTAATTCTCCGAACGAACGAACACGATTCGTTAGACAGTTAATGTGTTAAATAATGGTTGAAGCATAATTATATAAAATGTAATCAATGTAGTAGTAAGATGCTTATATTAATGTAATTGAATAATTTAATAAAACGCAACACATGAAGTTTCAGAGGTTTTGTTAGAAATATTTAGTGAACATATTAATTTACCACAGACAAATTTGATTGCAGCCAGTTTGTAGCATTATGTAATTTTCGTATGTATATATTTTTTTAACAATTTGTGTGAATTAAAAAAACCCTTTTAAAAGGTGTAACATCGTATTACACGTTCTGCTCCCTTGTATGAAGGTATAGGTCACTTCCACGTGTGTTATATGTTATGGATGTAAAAGGCTATAAATCATCATTTATTTTGTCAATTAAGAGGATAAAACTTGTTTCATACAGGTTAAAACAAAAAGTCGATACATATTTTTAAGTGCTCATAAATTACAAAAATATGCTCTGAGAAATGCTTTAATAAGACATTTTTACGTATTAAGTTCAGAATCCCGTAAGTTTAACAATTTGTGTTGGCATAAATTTCAAGTCAACTGTGTCTATTTGCTCATATACAAGCTTTACATAGCGCATAACACAACAATAAATGTCTGAATGTGGTACAAAAAATCTGAAGTATTCGTTTCAAACAATTTTATTCGTCCACACAACAACAACAACAAATGTCCTTTTCACACAAGAATCAATAGTTAATTGAAATTAAATTGACCTAAATGTAAACCTGGACATAAAAAAATAGCATTCGCATTTTATAACAATCCTGTTAAACATTACCATTGTGAACAAGTATTGTGTTCCTTAAATTAATTTCTTAATGTTGTTTGAGATCACAAATGAAGCAGGTTACACAACAATGCACATCTGTAAGGTTAGATTTTATTAAAATGAAGTAAAAACAGAATTCGTTGTCTTTTAAAATAGTACATAGTGTTTGCACATGTCATACCCTTTAAAATGCATGAGCGTTAGGATGAATTGACAATTTCGTGAAAAATGAAAAAACATGAATGTCATGTGTAATGTTTTTTTATAACATTTTTATTAAAACGAAATATGTCTCAATGCATTTTTTCTAAATAATGCAAAATATATTGTTCTAAATGTATTTCATGGGACAATTTTTGAAGCCTTTATGATTCATTTATTAATAAATCGGGTATATAAGGAGGATACGCGTTAACAATAATAGTAACTTAGTAACAGAAAGGTTACAAGTTACAGGCACGCGTAGGACACTAGGCCTAAAAAAGTGTTGTCTCAGAACACATGTTATTTTCGCATGTTGTAATATGTTTATAGGTGGTTTAACTGTTTTCATATCATTCTGTTAAACATATACATACGTACATACATTTAGACAACTAATGACAGGAACTTTTCACCATTTTACATTTTTGTAATTTTTTACACTTTGAGATATGAGAAATTTAAAAGTAAAAAGTACATGACTGCTAATAATGTACCCTTTGTGACACTTATTTTTATGTTACATTTTTGAAGCAAATGAATTATACGCTATTCTATTTAACAGCGATTTAATGTAGATTGTTTTGACTTGGGACGTGTAATCTATATTACCCAATTGGGACGCAAATGTCCTTTCCTGGGTAGTGAGCTTTACAAATTTATCCTTTTTTTTAGTTTCCTTTTGAGTGTTTCACAGTGAACAGTGAAAAAGTGGAACTACACAAAATTGTGTAAAAAAAAAGAAATGTCAATTGTGCTAAATTCGTGAAGCGTAAAACTTTTCCCTTTAACATTAAAAGGGAAATATGATTACAGATTCAAGCCTATAATAGAATTTTCTTAAAAAAAAATCAGCAGTGAATTGGTTCTTTCCTCTTTTTTTTTTACTCAGCTGCCCTAAACGATGGTGTTTCCTGGAAGGAACGAATAATACACGTTTTCTTTTTTGTGATGAACGAAACCAATTCGACATATTTTTCAAGACATGCAGTTCACAGGGGAATATAACCTCTTTCTGTAAAGAAATTTAAATGCATTATCCCAATTACATAAAAAAGGCAAATACATATACAAGTAGACTGGGAAACGGTTAGCGCAAAAGAGAATATGATACATATTCAGAGCAGCAAAATGCAGTATACACGAAAGGGTTAAGAATTCATGTTCTAATTCATTGTAAACTATGCAAAATGATGTGTTTCACCATTCCGATAAAACAGTGCATACACTGGAAGAAAAATCATTTTTAAAATAAAAATGACAACTTGGTTATGTGCTGCGGAAGTGCACTGTGCAATAAATGTAGACACTATTAAAGATGTGGCAACAGAACACACGAGAAGCAATTATAAAAGGAGCTGTGCCTTACAATTACCTGTACCCCTACATTCTTGCAAATAATGCCATAGTACTTATGCAACTATTTCATAATCGGAACGTTCACACCTGAGCAGTGGATACACATGTGATAAAAGGAAATAGAGACTACTGTTTGCTTGCAATAGTTATGAACATAAAGAAATGTGTAAAATTGCGCACACAAGAGGTACCTGATTCTTGTGGACACAATACCTTTTTCGTAAGTGCACAACTGAGCCCAGTATTATAACAAAGACAGCAATGAAGTGTCTAGTAAAAAATTTTTCAGTTGGATGAAAATGTGTTTACGATAAAATACATAAAAAATACACAACGAAAAAAATTTTGACGTTACCTTACTGAATCATTAGTATAAGAACAGGTCTAGGGTTAAAATAACTGTTCAGGCAGTTAATGCGTAAAGGTTTATTCTATGTAAAAAAAAAACAGAAAAGGATGTCTTCCTCAAAATTTTCATCAAGCTTGATGTTTTTCTTTATATTTAAGATGCTAAATTGAAGTTATAGCAGTTTCTGTGATTTGTTAACGGGGAAAGGTTTTATATAATGCTTTGCAGACATACCACACAAATATTGAGCAATAATTTTATTTTACCTTCGAGCTTGGTATAAGCGTAATGCATAAGTGTACATATATATAAAAGGTATAATTTAATGGTAACTAACATTGAATGTATTTTTAAATAGGTTTCCTTTTTGATGGCGATTTTATTTTCGACCATATTTGGGAGTTTCTTTTTTTTTCAAAAATGATGAAAAAGAGCACGAAAAGTAGAAAAAACTGTGTTATATATAACGGTATAGCATATTAAAGTGCATTTTAAAGAAAAAATAAAAATATATGAGGTAAGAATAAATCATAAATGCGATTTGTTCAATATTTAAAAAATGTATGAAAATTTTTCCTTGATCCCCCACGTCATAAAAAATATTTTTTTGCAGCAGAACATTCTATACAACATGCTTAACCAAACCTTAAAAAATACGCCCACCCAAAAGAACTTTGTTTTGGGGGAGTCGCAACAAGGGGCTAACCATTTTTTTCCATGTCTCTTTTCTTTAGCCCTTTCAGAAAGCTACAAAAATAATAAAAAATGCAGAGTCGTATCCATATGGTTATTTGCGCATATTCTCATGCTTGCTTATGGGGCGATAAATTAAAAAAATATGTTTCAAACGTGCCTGAATGGAAGAAAATACCATTCATATATATGTATATATTATATCTTTAATATATATAAAATTGTCGCGAAAAAAAATATTTTTATAAAAAAAAAGTGCGCAAAAAAATTGCCCATAAACAGAAGAAGCAAAACGAAAACAGAATATTGTTTCATATAATAATTGAGATATTATAACATATTGTACAATATTATAATGACAAGTACACCCCCAAATTAAACGAACTAAAGCAAATAATTAATAAATAAAGTATCAAAACAAAAGGCCCAAACAATAATTTTTCGTTTTGTGAAGTTTAAGAATTTGTTTAAACCATAAAACTCGCAAGATGGATGAAAAATAAAGTTAACGCAGATTGTTTTTATATATAAGTACATGGATGCACAAATGGGCGAATAAATAGGTGAATAAATGAATATAAATAAATATAATTATATGTTTCACATTTTTCACCTTGCGCAAAATTAAAAAAAAAAAAAAACTACAAATATATGTTTGCCCAAAGAGTATAAAAAATATATACATATTTTTTTACTCCTATTTTTAAAAGTGGTTTTTATTATCGTGAGCTTAAATTTTGTTGTTAGCGTAAGCGATTCCTATTATTTTTCGTAAAAACATATTGCATAATTTGTGTATTGTATTGTGCTGCAATGCGCTGTATATATTAACTTACGGGCTGCTGCTTACTGCCGTGCACACCCATGTAAAGGAAAACTTTTGTGTTGTTTTATCGTACCCCATATATTTCTTCCACCTCGCCCTGCACATTTCATGCGCTCGTTATTCGTTATGCTTGTAAGGAGTATGCATAAGTAATTTACGTATACGAAAACGGAAATTGCCGTGAAGTATATACGTATACACACATAGCGGCCACTTCTCTTATATAAAAACATTTACCCCAAGAAACTATAATAAAATGAAGAGCGAACAAAAGGAAAAAATAATGGACTACTTGTCGTGCACCCTAGACGATGTAGTGCACAGGGAGAAAAGAAGTGGAAAGAAAAGTCTTTTAAATTTAAATAATTCCAAAAATAATAATTATAAATCCAAGTTTTTTGGTAAAAAAGACCTAACACAAAGTAGCTCAGGTTATCGAGGCAAAGGAGGGGGTGGCAAGACAAAATTTATCAGCAGTAAAAAATCAGGAAGTTTTAAGAAGCCCTTCTTTAGCAAAAGATTAATTGATAAAAAATATAATAGTTACAAAAGTAGAAAATTTTACTCAGGACAAAACAGAGATTATTTTAAAAGTAGGCCAGGCTCTCGTAATTCCCATTACGCTTATGACAGTCATAATATTCCCTATAATAACAAAAATTTCGTCAATAGGAAAAATTTGATTAATAGTGTTAAATCTTCTGGAACTACATACAAGGGTGGTAGTAGTGTAGCAAAAAGCAAACCAAGAAAAATATTTAAGCCAATTCCATCATCCAGAAGTACCGTAATTGCTAGCAATGCAAATAGCTATAAAAGTGTACAGGTTCCAAACCACAAATTAAGCAACTTAAACATATCTCTTTATCGTAATAAGAGAACCGTTGCTGTAAGCAATAAAAGACCTACCACCAATCTCTCGGTAAGAAGAAATAACGTCATCACGGCTAAAAAAAGTAAAGTGGTTAAAAAAGGAATACAAAAGACTACCATCAAAGCGAAGACCAAGAAAACTGCCAACGGATCTAAGTTTAAACCGTTAAATAAATACTTTTTGTCAAAAATTAAAATTGTTACGTCATTAAATAAAATCCCATCCCCGCTGAAGGAACAGAAGGACACGGAGGTTAATCTGCCGGAGTCTTTGAATAATCCAACCGCAAGAAAGGAATAAAATTGTCCCATGTATATTTTGTGCTACAACAAATCTCTACAATGGGAGGAGTATAGCACAGGAAGTTGAAGTTAAAGGAAGAGGAAGACAAAACTAGGCACATGTTTCAATTGACTAATTTTTAGCCGATAAATAAGTGTATATTATTTTACAGCGTGATGATGAATACAATACGCCATTTGTGTTTTTTTTGTTTTTGTGAATCGTAAAAGACAAATGTAAAGAAGGCAAACCATAGGCCCCCCCAAAAAAAAATGCCATGTAAAAAAAATAAAAAAAAAAGTTAACCAGATGGTGAAAAAGTCGTGTAAAAAAAATGTGACATGTAAAAGTATAGTTAAATGCTATGAAAAAATATATAATTTTTAACTAAGCATGCATACACACACACATGCACATGTACACGCACAAGCATGACCATGAGCACGCGCCCTCACCTTGCGTTACTGGCATATATATAATGTTTAAAAAAAAAAACGACGAACAAAGAAAGTGCCTGTTGTATTTTTAATGTTCCCGTTACCATATTATAATAGCATCATCATATATCTGTATATACATAAACCAAACCCAATTAGAGAACTTTAATCAAACAAATTCCCCTAAGAAATGTTCCATATACGTAAATGACGAAAGAGCAATTTTTGTTTAGGGTTAACATTAAATGGTTTTCCCCCTGAAAAGTGTAAATTCAAAATAGGTATCTTTTTTTTTTTTTTTAGTAATTTTTTAAGCCTTTTTAATTGCAGGGTGGGAAAAAAAAAAAAAAAAAGGGAGGCAAAGGAGGAGATAGGGAAATAATGTGTACATTAAGTTACATATTTGAATACTTGATTGGGTCCTGTAAAGGACCATTGGAACGTTACCAGGTTGAGAGAGCGAACGAGGGATACCAAATAAAATTTTCTTACAACATGGAATGGATTTTACCGTTGAGGACATGAACAGCTCCCGCTTAGTGTATTTGCCCCCGAATAATGCTTACGACGTGGTACAAGTGGAAGGACGAAAAAAAGATAGAAGCAGCCCTGTACGTGGTGATATATTGTATAGCCGTATTTTATGGTCCAAATATTAACCATTAACATTTACGTTTTTTGCACAAAGGTAAATTGTGGAATAATACACGGGCTAACGGAAGTATGCACAACCCTTTTTTTTTTTTTTTAACAAAATTTCTCCCATTTGTATTGCTCAAAGCGAATCACACTAACGTTGCAAACACGTCTGTGTGTTAAAGGAGCGAATCGTGTCTCACCGCTTTACACAATTAGCAGTAGGAATGGTGGAATTTTTTAAAAAGTTACATATGGGAGAAAACAAAAAAAAAAAATCGGTCAATTCGGTTGTTTGAGGATGTTAAAAAAATGTGTCAAAGACGGATGCGCATAAAAACACACATAACACATATATATATACTCTTTTCATATGTGCGTGTATACTTTGTGTACATTATTTTTTCAGAAATCTTCCTTTGCAGCATTTATATTGATTTGTAATTACACCATTTAACGTTTCCAGTTAGGTAATAAAATCGAACGTGGCCAACCTGGTTTATTCCCTCCGCAAACGTGAAATGAAGTTTATTTTACGACGAAATCCAGCAAGGCAATTGTCACTGATTTTAAATTATTTTTCTCCCATTGGAAAAAAAAAAAAAAAAGGAGAAAATTTTCCATTGTAATTTTTTTTTTGTCATATTTTTTACAGGTGGAAAAATAACGTTTTAAAACACACCTGCGCATTTGTTTGGTGTTATTTTAATTCTCCGCTTTATTTTTTTTTTTTTTTTGTAACATTATTTTTGCAACTTTTTTGTTTTTACGCGAGATGCAAAATTGTGCATCGATTTGTTGTAAAAATCTGTTTTTTTTTTTGTTTTACTTTTCCCCACCATTTATAAAGGTGCATAAAGAAAAAAACTCCTATATTTTTTGTTTATTTAAAACTATATTATATATAATACCATTTTCGCTTTTAAATTTTAAATAACCTCCCGAAACGTATTTACCCACAACGCTTTTTTAGCTGAACAAGTGCAAAATAATAATTATACACAATTTTCCTCCCGTTGGAAACGCCCATATTTTTCCCCGCCCCCCCCTTTGTAGTTGTTGTAATGATAAAAATATGCCTTCAATGAAACATTTTTCTAAAAGGGGTATTTTTATGTAACGAGGTAAACTGTGGAGCGAGTAGAGGAAATTTCATGTGGCGAATAATCATAAAGTAAATGAACCAAACATTTTAAGTAAAACATTTGAATAAAAATCGTTTGTCAGAAATTTTCCATTTTTTTTATTATTAACTCCAATTTTTAATCCAATTCTCCAGTTGTTTTTACCTATTTGGGAGTTGTAGAAGAACATATGTGATGACGTGTTTTTCTTGCGTGTTTTTTACCGCGCCACGCTACAGTTTTGTTTTCCCGCTCCACTTGAGAAATAATAAATTGCACAGGGTTATCCGTAGATGGGGGATGTTTAACCTTTTTTTTTTTTATATACCAACTAATGAAGAGCGAAGATTTTATTTATTAGCCAAAAAAAATTTACGCCCATGGTGAATGTCACTCTCTGTGTATGTACAAAAAGCATACACGTCGGAGTTGTAGAAATGCAAGAAGTGATCAAAAAAGGCAAATCGGCAATAAAACATTGAGGGCACCAAGTTTCCAAGTAGTCATATAGTTGAAGATCCCAAGGAAATTGTCCTTTCTCTTCAGCGTTAGAGACAAAAGTCAATAAAGTAAAAAAAGCAACATGGTGTAATGAGGAGAACATTTTGAGTAACCCTTCATAACTGCAACGTTTTTGCTTGTTCATATTTTTTTTTCCCCTGCCCTTCAAAACGTTTCTCACATTATAATAGGAGCTCGAAATCATTATCACTTTTTTTTTGTGTGGCACCATCTGTGTATAGACCAGAATATAACTGAAATAGTTAGAAACTCGGAAAGGAGAGCCGATAAATTGCTAGCCAAAAATGGTTGTTATTTGGTACGAATGAAGAAGTGCACATTTATATGTATATGGTGTACAACTGAGCCGACTTGTAGAAGAGCTCACGAGAGAACATTTATCTTTGCATCGAAATAAAATTTTCAGAGCAAAGTGGCAAACTCCCATTTCTTGGCTGTTCTATATATTAAGAGGGAATACACACCCACGTTTACATTAACCAGTACATATGCAGTTATGTAGATATTTCAGCACATGTGTCCAAAAATTTTGGGACTGCTTATACACGATCAGGTGGAATTTTTTTTACAGAAGGTGCCGCACAGGGTGTGGGAGGTGCCGAATTGGGTGTAGAAGTTGCAGAATAGGGTGCGGAAATTGTCGAATAGGGTGTAGGCGGTGTCGAGTGGGGTGTAGGAGATGCCCCGTTGGGTGTGGAGGGTGTCGAATATGGCACAAGAGACCATGTAGATGCGGCGTGTAGCCAAATTGGACGGAACCCATTCTGTTATCCTCTATTGTCATGATCTTTGGAGGGGTGGGGGGAGGAAGAACCAGAGATATGCACAAAATGAAAGTAACACTTGTCACAATCGCCCTGCTACTCTCCCTATTGCTTCGCCAACTATGGGAAGTAACATGCGTCAAAAATATAAAAGTGCCAAAATTTCAAATTTCAACAAATGGAAGATGGAAAGGGCCATTCGCACCACCCCCAAAAAAACGTGCAAATAAAACATACCTCATTTGCAGTGGGCCCATTTTTAAAAAAATAAACAAGTTAAACAAAAAATACTCATTTCACGATTTGATTTATTCAAATAGAAAAAAACAAATTGTCAATTTAATTTACATAGATGTAATAAATAAAGATAAAAAAAAACTCGCAGAGACATTGGACAAAATTGTTCAGAAGCAACAAAGTTTAAGTTTCCCACTAGAATTTAAGGAGATCATATATTATTTCCACACAAATTTTGTGTATTATTTTGTACTTTTGTCCATTCTAGATAGTAACCCTTGGATATTATGCCTACTTAAAAAAATCAACAAACTTTTTCTTAATAAATTCAGAACCGATTTGTTTGGAAAAGCAATTTGTGACATTTCTACATTTGAAAGGAAGTACATCTGGAATGGAGCCCTAATTGATAGATACTTCAAAAAGTTCTTAAAGAAGCATCATAAAGAATTACGGGTTCTAGTAGATGCCTGCTTGAAAAAAGATGAATACTTTTACCACACCTTTAAGCAAAGCAGATGCATTTACAATCGTCACGATAACAATTATGATGATGACCAATTTGTGTGTACACTGCGTAACATACATTCCATACATTTTTATAACATTTTTGAGGAACATTTTTTCCAAAAAAACATTAACACTATTATGAAAATGATTAACACGAATGTACACTTTAGTCTTTTAAAAAATTTTATTAGTGATAGATATACGGCTCACCAAATTATGTATACGCACAAAACGTTTTTCGCCTTGACTCTTCAGAAAAATATTACTCCTTTGTTTAGCTCATTTGTTGAAATGAAAAAGCTCAACGAAAAAATGTCCTATCTTTTGGAAGAAACCGTAAAGAAACAACTACATGTACCTATACCAAATTTAAGAATAATGAATTTGCTAAACTTCTCTCTCATAATGACCAAGTTGATGTTAAACAAGCTCACCCAAGTGCTGTTCTATTTCGTTATGTTGTACATAAAGAAAAAGGCGCACGAAAGGGGAGGGCCGCTCATGCGGGTGCTAAGTGCCCTTTCCTTTGGCTAACTCAAAAGGGGGTATTTGTATGCGTGTTTGTTTATATGTGGGAAAAGCTTAGACTAGTTTTCTTGGGAAGGTCCTAATGCCCATTGGACAAATAGCCTATCTCACATCCACCAAAGAGAGGTGAAGCGTTTATGCTTTGAAGAAAAATTATGCGCAGACATGGATGGAGAAAAAAAAACAGAAATAATTTCCCCCCCGTGGGAATCTCCACAAAGGTGAAATTTCCTCAATATGTCTACATATTTTTTTATAAGGAGTTAAAGTTTAAGAAAGTCAGGTGCGCAAACATATGTGAATATATTTTTGCTGCGCGCGAGGGGCACAAGGGAAGTTAACAAACCGTAAAGGACAAGGGTTAAAAAAATAGAGCAGTGGAAAAGTAGAGCATGGCATTAGCTTAAGGTAGCCTTACATAGCAGAACGAAACAATTGAGAATCCTTTTACACTTTTGTCAAACTAAAAAAAAATATATATATTCATTGGTGGGAGCAGTGCAACGATGTATAAATGGTATGTGCACGAAACAATAATGAGAATTTATGCAAGTACGTTGACGCCCTTTGTCGGGTGCCCCCCAAAAGAAGAGACTCAATTGTAGGAAAATCTTAACTCGTGAAAAATCCCCAAACTGTTTAAATTTGTTTATTTTTGCAAGTAACAAATTGGTTGGGGATATATCGAGGAGGTTTCTGAAGGAATGAGCTTGCTTCTATAAGCAGAGCACATTACATAATTTGGACACAACAAACGCAGTTAGCATTTCGCCGATGTTACAAAAAATGGGTGACAGAAAAAAAAAAAACAAACAAACAAACAAACGTGAACAGTTATTATTTGGGCCTGCTCGTTTGTCGGACAAGTGGCTCCCTTGAGTGCATCATCAAGGGGACTTCAAACGCAGCAGCAATTTCGAGATTCACAGAGGGAAGCAATTCGGTGGAAACTTTTCTCCTAACAGTGCTTGAGAGACCCCCTTTTTTTTTTTTTTTTTTTTCTTACGTCCTTCCCGTTAGAGAAATTTCACCAAAACGGGTAGACAGATAATAAGCACAACAATGAGGATTCCCATGGATATGTAGAACATCCACTTGGAAGTAGACCTTTGAATATTTCGCGCGTCAATCAAATCCACATTTGCCTTCTCCGTGAAGTATTGCGCATCGTTTACATTGTCGTGTATGCTACTTATGACCTCATCATTCATCTCAATAAGAGCAGACAGTTCTACTATAGTTTGGTGTAAATCGCACACATTTTTTTCTAGTGTCTTAACATCTCTATATTTGGATTCTACATGAGTTAAAGCATTTTTTAAATTATCATGTCCTTGTAATTTCCACTTGACTAAATTCTGCGTATTTATATCATCATGATTTAGGACAGAACTGATATCTTCATCTGTGTAATGTGGGTAAATAATTTTTATATGTCTTGACATTTTATCTTTCATACTTTCATTGTACTCATTTTGAATTTGTTGGTAACTATGTAAAGCTTTTTTGAATACATGGATTAAATTATCGTGGATATTTTTTTTCATTATTTTATTTTGCTGAGATTTTAGTAAAAATTTCTTCCTCACATTTTTTATTTCCATTTTGATAGAAGAAATGGTATTATTTCCATTTTTTATTTGCATATTTAATAGCATACTTAATTCATTTTCCTGTTCTGTCGTTATAGCTAAATTGATTTTTTTTCTTAACACTTCTATATCATCAATCACTGTGTAAATTTGTTTTATTTCTTGTTTTATTGAATGAACTGCATCTACATAGCTTCTCAAATCGTCGTTCCTTTCCCCAGGAATTTCTATAACTGTGTCCCCACTGGGATCTATAAAATTATCTATTATTTTGTCATTTTGAAATTTCAGCACTTGTATCATATGCTTGGCATTCTGCTGCTTGTTGATCGTGGCTAGCTGCTTTACTTCATCAAACAGGTCGATCATTCTTTGGGCCTTGGGGCGCGGCGCAAATGTGTCACACACACATGTGGATATATGTGTATATGTCTATATGTATATGTATATGTATATGTATACACCCGTGCAGCATGCGGGCTAATGCGCGGACGTGTCACTGATGTGGCAAGGCATCAACGAGGAGTAACGGTGACACGATGAGTTGGCTTCCCCTCCCCCCCATTGCTGCACTTCATCATTTATCCTGGGTCTATTTTTCAAAGGCGTGGAGCATTCGCGCGCGGGCCGCAGGGACAAATAAAAGGCGATCCCGTTCTACCTTGCTCAACCTCGTTGCAACTTTTCACACGTGCTTGATTTGTACCCCCTTCAGACAGCTGCTCATTGTTCAAAGATGACACACACCGCCCAACCGCTCAACTACTCAACCGCGTTGTCTGACAAATCGGGGGCCGCCAATTTTGCAGCACTTCCGCATTTGCGGGGAAAAACTGACCGAGTGGGACACGTGCCGAGCTGCTAAAAGCGGCTATGTCGAAACTATGCGCCTAGAGAAGGTGAACAGTTTTTTTTTTTTTTTTTTTTTCTTACATATGGCAGATTACGTAATGAGGTCTCCGCCAAAGGAAAAAAAAAAAACAAAAAAAAAAAGAAATTGTAAGTTTATATTATACCACTTGTGAAAGGACGCACCTATGTTTGTTCCCTTTTTTTTTTTTTTTTTTTTCACGTTGTAGGATTTTTTATTTTTTAATTTGCCCTCTTGTGAAGATTTGGCGAAGGGGAAAAAAAAGAAAAAAAAAAAAAAAAAAAGGGAATAAATGGAACGAGTGCAAAACTGTGAAATTGCCAAATTGAAGTGAATAAATTTTGAGCGGGTTTAGGAGAATGGATGAAAGGAAAAAAATATAAAAGGAGAGAAAAAGTTAGCAGCAATCCCTTCCTGTCGTTTAATTTGTTTGCAAAATTGTAGGTGAATTGCTTAAAAAAAAAAATGCTGACCCTATCGAAATTTCACGTTCGCATCGCGCGAAAGTTTCCATTTTTACGCTTCTTGGCACATTTGATTTGTTTGGTTTTCTTAACTTGCTTAGCTTAACTTGGTTTTGACTCCCCTTTTGGAAAATTCCCTGTACTGTCCTTTTTCCCCGTCCACATTCGTTCTTTTTGAAAGTCGCGCGGAGGAAGCGGCTTCTCACCTTGCGAGAAAAACGCAGCTATGCAAGTGGACACATGGACCAAGGGGAAAAAAGGGCGTTAGTGTGTTAAGCGATTTTTGCTTAGCGAGGAAAAGGGGGGGGGGAGCACGCAAGTGACCCAAGAACGATCTGAAAACAACGTCAAAAAGCGCCACAGCGCGTGGTGCTTAGCTAAAGGGGATTTTACGCACACACGCCAAAAGAGGAGGCAGCCTTTTTGAGATTTTTAAAAAAGTGCATAAGTGTGTAATAGCACAACGGTGGCCAAGTTCCAAATGAAAAAAAAAAAAAAATAGCATTAAAATAAAACGGAGTCTACAAATATGTATGTGTGTATGTATATTATAACGTACCTTTAGGGAAGGTGAAAGAGGGAATTTTTTTTTTTTTGTTTGGTCAATTTTCCAGGGGTTCCCAATTGTGGTGCCATTTTTGCTGACAATTTTTTCCGCACTTACACTCGGTTTCGTAAGGGGGGCTGCAAAGACGCGGCAACAGTTGGTCTGCGCGTGTTTGGAAGTTAGGGCGTTTATTTGTTTACTCGTAGCAACAGGTTAGCGCGGTTGCGCTTTTTTTTCCTCATTTGCATTCACGTGTGTTCACTTGTGTTGGTTCGTGCCTCTAATAGCTTCCTCACCCATCGCGGCATTCGAATCGCGCCGCGGTTTCCCACACTGAGGGAGAAATTCCTCCATTTTTTTTTTTTTTTTTT